GGAATCATGTTTCACCTGGCAGCGTCAGCAGAAACCATCTGACCAATCAGAACAGGATAAACCGATAATTGGCCGAGGAATCGAACAGGCTCTGCCTACAGGCCGTGCGGATGCCAGCGGTTATGTCAACAGTGCCCGACAACTAAATCGGCTCAGTTCGCTGCTGTTTGCTCTAGTTCTATTTCAGGGTAATTGGCACAATGGCACACAGAGCGAGCTCCATGTAAATGGAGTTGCAGGATGTAGATAATTCTGTTAGTCCGATTGCATTCGCGCAGGATCTGCATCTATGTATGCGCTGGAGAACATGGTCATAATCAGGTGATTTAATCTCACGTAACAACGAATCATCTAAGTAACGTTTAAACTTCAAAAGAGGTGGCCTTGAAATCTCAGTCAGACGCAATCGTCGACCATATTCAGCGTCTGTATATTCGGACTGGAAATGTCATAAAAGCAGTTTATGACTTGTTTAGGAATACTATACCTCAATGTTCTTCAGTTAAAAACTCCTTGGATTTGGTTCTTTAAAAGTTATTTAGTGATTTAACGTCAACTTTTATAAGCAAAAGTGTGAGGTGTGTTTTACCTGAATTCCGAAAAACGGCAACATTTTGTAGATTTCGGACGATATTGGACAGCGGGTCCGAATGCCTTCCCCTTTCAGTCGGCCAGTGATTACAACTGCTCCACTGGTCTACCCGCAGAAACCACGGCGCGCTTTGCCATTTCCTCATCCCAATTACTTGATAAGAAAAAGTCCAGTTAAAGGTAGTGTGCCAGCTTTCTTGGACCGTATGGAGTTAATGGCCCAGATAAGGAGAACCGGATTTTTAGAACTTATCCATACCTTCAAAACTCATGGAAACGTCTTAAATTCTTCAAATTATGAGTACCCCAGTGCGAAATTCGCCCCGACGGGTTGTCGGTCGTACCCCAACCACATTTCACACCACTATGAACAATAAATGCACACACTGAAATCGCTATTACCGATATGCTCATCCAATCAAGTTTCGATAAACCCGTTCATCATCATCTCCTGCGGTTTCGAACACGCCTGTTAGGTGGCTTCTGATGCTCGTCGAGGTCGGAATTTCCAAATACGCGTGGTGCGTCGGGCCGCGCGCTCTGACTTCGGCCAAGAAAAATGCGTCAGCTGATCATTGTCATTTCTGCCACTTGCGTGTGGTGAAATGGGGTCATAACTTATAAGACGGCTTTTTCATATCAATTATTTTACATAAAATCATATTTCAAACCATAAATAATGTTCGACAGCCAAATAAAAGAAACAATACCAATACGGGCTTACAGTTTAAGGCTCGACATTGTGTTGTCTACGATTAGACAGCTGATAACTCATTCCCGTACGTCGTATGGTCGTAACACTATAATGACCTTTGCTTATTGTCACAAGTGCGCCGCATTCGCGATTGTTGCCCGACGCCTGTTTGCAGGTGAGCCCACTACAGTTGTTATACATATCTAAAAACCGAAAAACTTTTAGGCGAAAAAGGCACTATTCCAGGCCCATTTTTGATTTTTTTTGCGATATTAGGTAAAAACAGAAGCTTCTTATCCTAGGAAAAATAAAATGGGAAATCTTTCAAAGGTGGCACACTACCTTTAAACATGTGTTTGTCCTATTCTTTCCCCAAATGAATTTTCAATCGTTTAGCTGCAATCACATGTTACGTCAGATTACATCCCTGTTTTTCTTCATATGCAGATTGTACCCTTGCGTACAGCCCCATGTGACCGTTGGGTGGTCGTTCAATTTCTCAGCTGATCGCCTATTGCCCATCATGCTGGGTCGTTTCAGCCACCACAGTGCACGTCAATACCTCATCGATGAGGTGGCAACAGCTCCCTCAGTGGTCACTGCGGTTGTCATGGAAACGCTCTGGCAATCACTCTTTGCGTTAGCTTCCTCCGCTAGTTTAGCTCTGCACTCTGCCTGTTGCTCTGGGTAGTAACACAGCCAGTCTGTTCGTAACCCTTTCTTGCTTAGTAAGGCATGATTAATTCTTATACACCCCCGTCGGAGAATCAACCTATACCTTTCCAGTCATAACTGGATCGAAACTACCCAAGAAATAGACCAAGCGCAACAAATGCCGGCCCAATATCAGCATTTTTCACGCCGGATTAGGCAATGGCACGGTCGGGTTCAGGCACTCTGGCGGTTCGCAGCGAGCCAGTGTAATCCAGTCACGCAAGGAGCGTCCAAAGCTGCACCATGGGGAGGGGGGGGAGCTGTGGGAGCATGCTGTGTCAATGATCCTTCCTGCAGTGTATGGCCAATAGTGAAGATACAATGGAATTACACATAGGATATTTATCATTGTATTTTTCGTTATTGCTTCTTATTGTTATTGTTTTCTTCAATCTTCCCCATGTTCGACCTAAACCTGACCTGAGACTTCTATCCAGCATGATTTCCCTATCAACAAGCGACACAATATCTTTTAGGGGATTTCTAGTTTAATTAAGGGCCAAAGGAAAAGGGCTGGTACAAAACTGTTCGGTATGCGAAAAACAAGAAGTTCTGTGGGTTGTTTTCCAGGAAGCCATTTGCTAATTAAGATTCATCATCTACGTGATACGTTAGTCACTATACGCAGTACCTACTTTTATGCAGAAGGTTCCGTTCAAACAAATGGTTCAACAATGAAATGTTTCACTCGTAACACGAGCACACTGATATTTCTCATCGAATATTGGTATTTCCACAAGATGCCAAAACAGCAGTACAGGCACCTCCAATTATTTTCCAATTCCATCCTTCACTAGATCACACTGCATGAACGACTCTCCACCACCTTGTCGACTTATCAGTAGACAAACAGGCTGGCAGCCCGCGCGCGGCAGCGATCTGGCAGCTCTGACGTCATTAGCGCCAAGCTGCTCCCCGAGCTGTCATCAGTGGTGTGCGGGGAGCATTATTGCGGCGAAACGGCCGCGGCAGTGCGCCATTATTTGTCGGTCGGCGCCACTCTGGTGAAATGAATTAGACCGCTGTTGTTGGAAGGAAGCAGATGTAATGAATACGACCAGACCGCCGCCAGAGCGGCCGAAGCATCTCAGAGGTCTCTGGGGTGTGCGCCGTCCGAGCAGCAGCTTTTGGAACTGAAAATGACCGGCAGGATCACACAGGGCGAATGAGCAGTAGTACTGCCGCCGTTTATCATGAGAGATCAACCAACATTACATACATAGATTCAGGAAAACAGCAATATTAGTTGACGATAAATCCAGAAGATAATATCGACAAAATTGTATGCATTAAATTCGCAATCGGTAACAAAATTGTGTACAAATAAAATGTGCGTGTATTAAAATGTGTACATAATAAAAATCGTAACAAAATTGTGTACACAAAATTCGTAATCGTATTGGAACAAAACCGAGTACCACTTTGCCAAATAATATTTAAAACACGTCCCAAACATCACATGGCAAAATGCTCAGTGCTCACATTGCATCTGACAAAACACTAGGCTCTCTTTTCCTACCTACTCAAAATACAAACAAAACATGACATCCTACAAAATATAATTCAGTAATTCCGGAACTTGACATGTAATCTAAATAAGTTCAAAAACACGATACCATAGCCATTAGATAGTTTGTCGACCCGTACAAAAAAGCTAAACATTTGTATTTGAAGTGATCTGAGCTGACCTAACCGTGAACCCTAACGCTTGAATTGGTCAGCGTGACCTCACTGACCTCGGATGCCACAAAAATATTTGTCACACTAAGAGAGAAAAGTGCATCCCCTCAATGCTCAAAAGGCCTACAGCAAAGCGAGATGAGATATACCTCCATCCTTGCATCCATGCAATAGATTTCCTACATTCATTGATCATTTCTGCTGATTTAGGTGTTGCAATGCCACATCAAAAAGAGACAGCGAACGGCATTGGCTATCTTGTGCGCACATTGACATTGCGGGTCGACGTCGGTATTTGAGCTGCTGTAGAGTCGTTAAATGCATGTTTTTGCTGGACCTGGTGTCTTAACGACAGAGGATTTGTTTTTGTTCGGTTTTGTGATTGAACTGAGCTGTTTGCAAGAATGTGGCTGACCACATCCTGTAGATAAATGCTTAGTTCGTTTCTTTGTTCGTAATCCTCCACATCAACATTTTCAACCTACGAGTATATTCTGATCAAAGTACGATGACATAGCAATTGCTGTGGTCCAAATTTGACTATCAGCCCGGGTCCAATAAGCCATCAGCGACCTAAATAGTTAGCTGCTTTGAGTTACATAAACTCAGCGCTTCATCATTATTATATAACGAAAAAGTGTATAGTCGTAAGTGGCCGTATACGATGCACAAAACACCGAAAAACCCCAAACACTGCGAGATACAGGAACCCAGTGGTTCATCCCACAGTCTCGAACGACTGACCTTATCCGCATCACTGCGCTCATACCACATCTAATCGCGTCAGCCCCAGTGACATCAATATCCCACGTCTCTCCAATTACCTACCCGATCTGCCTGCCATACGCTCCGATAATTATTAATCAATCACTCCATGTGCCAACCGGCCGCGGCGCATGCAACAGCCGCCCGCTGGCTGGGCGTAAACAGTGGTAACGGTTGCTACCCTTGGTAACGCAGAGGGAAGTGCGTTAGTGCATGGTGTGGGAGGACTCGGGTTCGATCCCCAGTGCCGCCCAGCCCCCCCCCCCCCCCGGACGCGTCGCCAGCTGCGCAACCAGGAGCCACAGCGTAGGTTTCCGCAACAGCCGTAGCCTAGTTAAAAAAAGAGGAGAAATAACTCACCCAGTAATTGGGCAATCATGGCCTGTTGGGGGACTAAAGTGAAAAACACGTAGCCTGCGGGGCCCGGCGCGCGGCCGTCGCCGCCGTCGCGCCGTTACCGACGCAGCAGCGGCGGCTCGGCCGTGGCGGCGGCAGAAGGTGGGGTCGGTGGCGGCGAGCTCCGAGGTCGGCTCGGATTGCCGACGTGACGGTCGCCCGGTGCGCCAGCAGAGCGCGGGGCTCCCGGCCGACGGGCGGGTATCGTCGCTGGCGACGGTCGCCTATCGTCGCTACCGACGGTCGCCTATCGTCGTTACCGACGAGGAGTACGGAGCGCGGTGTGTTTGGTACGGGAGAAGAGACGGAGACCAGAGAGAGCCCCAGATTGGAGCGGAAAGCACCGGCGCGAGAGGAGTGGGATTTTCTCGCGGAAGCCGATTAGTCGGACGGCAGAAGATATCGGATTGTTTTTTTTTTTCTGAGTGGGTTTAGTCGTCGGAATAGAGACGGAGAAGTCTGACCAAGACGCAGTGGAAGAGGTGAGTACTGATTTGCTGAGTGTCTCTGATGTATCTGACTTCAGTTGAGGGTTGTTGCTGCTCAGGGGTATAAAATTCCTTTCTGCATGGTAATATGCACACTTTTCAATGATGAACTGCGAGTTGACTCCGTGTAATTCAGTGACTTAATAACTAGTAGTTATAGTAGTTAACTAGTACTCGTAGTTAATAACTCGACAATACGGGCACAGTGAATCGTAAGTTTTGCGAATTATACATTACTTATTCATCGTTTCTTATGTCAGGATAAATCGCACTCAACATTGTGGCTGCGTTTCTACATTTCGTCTGAAACGACCTTAATTTAGGTATAGTTCACCTGTTGGCTGTTCAAGTGTTCAGCCATAGAGCGACGACATTCCACGCATTATTGGCCTTTGATAACCGGCTTTACTGGCGGCCTGTTTCGGCGACACAATCCACATTGTCATTCATGTGATATATCTGCTTTTCTGAGCATGAGCTGGGCTTGACCTCCAATTTCAGTAGGACTGAGAGGACTCTGAATGCCTTTTTGATATCCGTGGATAAGTTGACTCTCCGAATTTAACGTGCCTAAATGTCTGCCAACGAAATAAATAACTTTTTATTGATTAAACTTCTAGGTGCAATCGATGCCAAGTATTTTGTGACGTCACTTATGGTACGCAGCGGAGGCAGAAAACGAGCTTATATCATGTTATCTTTATTCATTCGTTTGTTTATCCAATGCGGTTCTCTGCAAAATCCAGAGTCGGTCAGAATTGTATGTCCCGTCAATTGTGCTTACCATCGATTCTTGGCTGACCTCGTGCTCTAGATCCTTTCCAGTGTGCCAACAAATATTGCCAAATTATTTGAACAGAGGCCAGTTTTACCAACAGAAAAATAGCAGCCCGGCGCAATTTTTCTGTCAAAAACCAGCCGACGAGTTTCACCAACCAGGCGAGAAAATATCCGCCGGCGTGAAAAAGTATCAGCCAGAAAAATAGCCAACGAGTTTCACCAACGGCAAATGCGGCATTAATGGAGTGTTATTTTGCGCCATTATTTGTAGAAAAACAGCCCAAAAAATAGACGGGGGACCCCGTCTATTTTTTTGATGTCGTGTTGGAACAATTGGCCTCATTTGTTACTAATTATCGTGATTTGCGCTTCCCAGTTGATATAATAATTTAGTATCATTCATGGCCAATTTGCAAAGCATCTGGGCTTCAAGATTAGAAGAGGAATACTGATGATATTGCGTAAAGAAAGAGCCTTTGTCACCAGGCAGGACCAAAAGGAACCAACAAGACTGGTGTTTGGTGTTGTGGTGTTAGTTTTTTCGTTTATATTATCTTTTTGCTACAAGCACCCAACAGCAAGATGATAGCACATTATTAACTAGTGGACAGCTTACAAGTTCATTGCTCGTGCGAGTCGCATGGAAGTGGAAAATAATGATGGAAGATCATTTTCGAAAATTGAAGGTGCTTGAACAAATGCTGGAAGGAGAGGCAGAGAGGGTAGGCTCATTGGACTCAAGATTTTAAATAAATATGTCACTGTTTTCACATATTCAGCTACATTTGACAATGCAAGGCGCCAACTACTGATACCACTACTACTTTTGGGTGGAACTTACTTGAATGTGCGGAATAGGGAAGGTGCAATTGGCATGGCTAAGACTAAAATGGCAAGATTTTCAAGATCAATGACAGTAAATTTAAAAAAAGAAATTGAATAGCATGAAAGAAATGTATAAAGGCTTGTTTTTGAAGCCAAACGTGCAAAGTTTGCATGGTTGCGAACCCGAACAAACTTGCTGTCATAAGATTGTGCCACTGAGCTCAGCAAGTCATGCTGCCAATATTGAAGGAAAAGAAAATAATAGTAATGTTGTAAAATGTAAATGAATCCATAACTGTTGTGTGTGCATTGTGCTGATATTGAATGCATGTGTATCTTGCATGCATGAGTCATGCAGGGATCATGTTAAAACTGGCTGTAAGTATTGTGAGTTAGTTTTGCAAAATTGTGGAGGCACCAGGCAAATTGCGGCCGAAGTGTTATTTGTTCACCTCAGCGCTGAAATTTCTGCTCACAGAGTTTTCAGATCATGCGCCGAAATGTTCATGCAGCCCATCCGTTACACTGGTCATGTTGACAGTGACAAGGATTTTTTCCCAGTCTCATGTTGAAATACAATAATAATTCACTTAGCTTGATTTTAGCTTATGTTTTTCATGCCAGTTCCTAGAATAAAGCAGCCAATATTTTCTGTCATGTGAGAAATATAATAACAATATGCACAATTGCAGGCTGTGGCATGTTGTAAGGTTTTCCTTGTTTATTGCTGAGGTTTTTCCAGTCTCTGCTGCAAAAACGGTGATGAATCCACCATCGTCCGACGGTTTCGATGACGCCAATAACGACAGTGAGGACACCTCCGAGTCGGACGGAGACGCCGCCGCTGACGACTTCACCGTGCTGGACGAGGTGGAGCGCTCGAGCCGACAGACCGTGCACCGCGTGCGCTGCCCGACTGGCTGGCGCACCTGCAGCCGATTGGCGACCGGCGGCCGGCGCCGGCCAATCTGTCGGCGCTCTGCCCCGAGCTGTGCGCCCGGCTGGCCGCCGAGGGCATCGAACAGGTGTTCCTGGTGCAGGTGACCGTGCTGCCCGAGCTGCTGGCGGCCGCAGAGTCGCCACTGCCACCGGCCGACCTCTGAGTCTCGGCGCCGGCCGGCCGCTCGGTGCCCGCCGTGTTCCGCCAGTACGACGCCGACACGCCGCTCTGCGTCCAGCTGCTGGGTGGAGACACAGTGGCACGAGGGGGCGCCAACTGGTGGCGGTGGGGCCGCGCGGCCCGGCCTCCCTGGCTGATCGTGGTGAGCACTCCCGGCTGGCTGATTGATCACATAACCAGCGCCGAGGGCTTCTCGCTACCGCACCTGCGCTACCTGGTGATCGACGAAGCCGACCGGGTGATCGAGATGGTGGAGACGGGCTGGCTGAAAGCGGTGGAGCGGGTGGCGGCGGCCACGGCCCGCCGCCCTGCATCGCTGGCCGGCTGACGGCCGCCGCCGTCTGCGCGCCTCACCTACCGCTTCAGAAGCTGCCATTCTTGGCCACCCTGTCACAGAACCCGGAGGCCGGAGAAGCTGGAGCGAATGTCGCTGTTCCAGCCGCGACTGCTGGTGGTCGGCACGGCGGCCGCCGCCGTCGTACTGCCCGGTCAGTTCGTCGGCAGGTTCACCACGCCGGCCGAGCTGAGCGAGTCGTTCAACGTGGTGGCGCCGCAGCCGCTGAAGCTGCTGGTGATGCACCATTTGCTCCGACAGCCCGACTGGCGACGCTCGCTCGTGTTGGTCAACTGGAACGAGGTGGCGCACCAGCTGGAACTACCGCTGTCTGTGCTGGGCGCGCGCGTGACTGAGTTCTGTGGGGTAGTGCCGGCGTGCCGGCGGCGGCGCGCGCTAGCTGAGATGGCCGCGCTGGTGTGCTCGAGGCTATAGCGCGCGGTATTGACGTGGACGCCGTGGACGCGGTCGTGTCGTACGACATCCCGGCGCGGTTGAAGACGTACATACACTGCGTGCGTCGGACGGCGCGCATCCGCCGGGCCGGCCAGGCGGTCAAGCTAATGTTGGAGCGGCAGCGCAGCAATTTCCAGCGGCTGATGGTGCAGGCGGGCGGCCGGGTGCGGGAGACGCTGGCGCTGCTGGACGAGCTACGAGCTGCGCCAGTACGAGGCGACCTACGTCAGTGGATTTCCACACTAGCTTCTAGTGGATCGCTGTTGTTTTTTATGCTCATTGCTCATGATTTATTTACATTTTAGAAATATTGCAATGAAATAGATGTATGCGTTGTCATCAGCCTAGAAAAGTTAAAGTAAGTAAAGCGTTTTAGTTGCATAATGTATGTTTGTTCATGAACACGGATTTAACATGTCCTAACTCCCAAACATTTCGATATTAGACCCGAGTTACAAACCAATCGAAAGGCTTAGACGATCATTTGGGGCGTAGCCAGACGGCTCGGCTGGGTGTGAAAGCCGGCGACCAAGGTGGTGACCACCCGATCATAATGCACAGCGGTCTCCGTCGGACGATTGTGTCCGCGCGCAACGAATGATCTGGGCACACGCAGAGGAGTTCGGCAGGACTCTCCACTGAGCGGTACTGGGCGCAGTCGAACGACGGTCGACGACGCTAGCGCAGGTATTGTTAATTTGTTACGACTTACGAGCCGGACCAGTGTAGCGGGCCTGGAGCAAATATTATTTGCTGTGTGGCGTTCCTTCTGCTCGACCGGGCCCGGCAAACGGGGCCTGCATATCGGCTAAAACCACCTAGCCGGGCAGTCTGACCTCCACCTCGCCGAAGCGGAGCGAACGACGTACCCTCAGCCCTGCAATGACCGCGGTGCAGCAGTTAATCTGGGTAGGTATTTTCCTAAGGTAAGACACTTGCCTTTGCACAATGCTTTACATATATAGGCCTTGGCGAGTTCGTTAGCCCTCTTACTCCCGCTAGAAGGTGCTAATGCAGTGCACGCGAAGCCGCCTCGTAGCACCGCAGTTCAACTTCAATCGCTCGGCAGCGGAACTGTCCGTCGTCCGTCCAGCTTCAGGTGGCGTCTCTGGGAGCAATGCTGACCGCTTATTTGCCGCTCTTTTGAAAGCTAGGAAAGAGGTGCGGCTCCCGGATCTGTCGGGAGCGGGACTCATAGGCGGCGGAACGGGTAGGGCACCGGGGCACCGTGCCCCCCTTTGATTTTGACATTTTAATATAAGCCCTATGGGCGTTGCATGGAAAGAATGGGACCAAAAGTCGGCAGTGCCCCCTTAATTGAAGGTGTTCCGCTGCTACTGGAGTGGTCCCATCTAGTCCCCACCTCATAGGTGGAGGTCCACACATTGCGTTCTCGGTCTACACGATGATTTTCTACAAGGTGCGACTAAAAACAGACAAAAAGGTACATAGCAAGTTGAAGGTATTGTAAAAATTAAT